CAGGTTGTGGTGACCCACAACCATAAAATTATTTTCATTGCTAATTCATAACTGTAATTTTGCTACAGTTATGAATCAGAATGTAAACATCTGTGTTTTCGGATGGTTATAGCAATCCCATAAAAAGAGCAATCAACCTCAGGCTGGCGACCCACAGGTTGAGAACAGCTCCTCTAAGCACCCTCCTCTCCCCGCCACCGGGCCAGCAGATGCTTGGAGTTTACACCAGCCTGCAACAAGGTAGGCCAAAAGAAAGCAACAATTGTAACAATTTTGTTAAGCACACTGGTCCAGCTGTCTTCTGATCTGGGACCGGGACACACACACACACACACACATACACACACACACACACACACACACACACACACACAGAGAAATAAATTGATGAAATAAAAAAATGCATTTTCCATGTAGTGTATATAAATATATTTGGAGTAGTATTTCTTTCATGGGTTATAATTGGGGATAATGAGAATTTAAACAATATGGGCAGGCAGGCGATTGATTTCATTTCCTCATGAATTGAGGCGATTCTATAAGCCAGGGAAGCCACTGCTAGGGCGTGGGAGCCAAACCAAACACTGATTTAGACCTTGCTCTGGGATCCAGGCTCCAGTCCTCCCGTGCACCTGTTCCTCAGGAGAGAGAGCTAGCAAGTCCAAGGTCCTTAGCCTAGGCTTCAGGAACCGAAGTTCATGGCACTCACGCAGGTCCGGGACTGACCCAGTGTTCAGACACCAGAGGTGAGCACACTCACCCCCTCAACAGGAAGTCTCTGGGATCCCTACATTCATAACGCGGTGTGTATCTAAGGCCCTCAGGAGAGACTCACGTCTGGACCCCAGCTGCAAGGTGATCCACAAAAGGAAGAGAGGGGGATTGGCGGCATGGGGGCTTAAGGGAAGAAAAAATGGGGTGTTTTAGTTTTCCTGTGTCTGAGGGAGGAGGGCTGGGTCTGGACCCCTGGGTCTGAGGGAGGAGGGCTGAGCCTGGACCCCTGGGACTGAGGGAGGAGGTGGCTGGAGGCGCGATCCGGAAATCATTAGTTCATGACTTGTTTCTGAGGCAGGTCAGTGCTCACCTGAATCTCGAGCCCTCCCGGAAAACCTCCTCGTTCGCATCCTTTTTGCCTCGGGGTGGCAGCAGCTCGGCCACCTTCTTGCCTTTGGCCTCCAGATTGGCCAGGTAGATGACCAAATAATCCCCAGCGCCACCGGGACCCTCGGGGTCTCCCTCAGCCTCGCGCCGGGCTTTTGCCACTTCTCGAAGTAGTTGAGCGGTGCGGGGCAGAAGGACCCGCAGCGACGGGGGCCCCATAACAAGTCTGGGGTCCCTGCATTGCTCTTCCAAGCGCTGTAGCAGCTTCACTGCCCGGCCGAACGCTCGTGGCTCTCCCCACTGCCATCCTCGAGGGGATGCCATCGCAGCCGTGGGTCTCTCGGATAGCCTGAGATGGAGGGGTGAGGCGGGGAAAGGCTCCAGGTAGGGGCGGAACCAGGAGGGAGCAGAGGGCGGGTTCTAGAAAAAGGAAGGGGACTGCAGGTGGCAGCTGCCCTAAAGGGGCCCGACTGCAGAGTCTGAGGGAGGAGGGCTGGGGCTTGGGTTCCTTAGTGTGTGGAAAGAGGTGGCAAACAGAGGAGGAGGGTGTTAGAAGCTTGGTTCTCCACACCCCACAGGGAGGGGCTCTGGGACACAACACCCCTTCCTGAATCATTTCAGGAAGGTTTCAATCTTTGCTTGTAGCGTGGGATCAAAGTTCAGGCAGTGGAATCTCCTAAGAACAGAAAGTCACGTACCTACTCTGTGTCCCAGAGGGAAGGTACGAGGACGCCCAGAGCTCTGGGTCCCATGGCAAGTAAGGGGAATTAGGTTGCAGTTTAAATACTCAGATTTTCAAGAGGTTTTTACCTCTTTTGAGGTGTGGGGGAAAGTGAAGTTCAGGAATGCACAGGGCTGCAGGGGAGTGGCTACAGGCAGGTTTGCACTCCAACCTGTCAGACCTGTAGGGTCCGCGCCGATTGTGCTTCAGGCAGCCGCCAGGGGGCGCCGTGGACATGGTCCTCTCTGCCCAAGGGCACCCAGGGCACCCAGGGCAGCCATCTAGGCAGGCTGGGTGCTGATTCTCTCCAGCCTGCATTCTGCATTCTGCATTCTCCCTTCTCCCTCCCCCTCCTCCTCCTCCTCCTCCTCCTCCTCCTCCTCCTCCTCCTCCTCCTCCTCCTCCTCCTCCTCCTCCTCTTTCTTCTTCCTCTTCCTCTCCTTCTCCTTCTCCTCTCCTCCCCCTTCCTCCTGTCTCCTCTTCCTCCTGTCTCCCTCTCCTCTTTGCTCCCCCCCCTTCTAATTAGGTTCTACCTAAACAGCTCGAGCTGGTTTTGAATTCACTGAGTAGCCCAGGTTGGGTCTCAAAGTTGCCTCGCTCCTCCTACCTCTGCCTCCAGAGTGCTGGGGATTGGATAGTAAGGCTCTGTCTATTTCAACAAAAGACCTGGGCTGGAACTGGAGAGATGGAACTGCTGTGTGTTCAGAGGACCAGAGTTCAGTTCCCAACACACTCACATCACCATTCGATGGGAACTGCAGATTCAGGGGATCTGATGCCTCTGGTCTCTGAGGGCAGCCTGTGTGTGTGTGTGTGCGCACACACACACACACACACACACACAGAGCGATACATATTTTGCTGTTTTCTTTTAACATTTGGCTTTTCTTTTTTCTTTTTTAAAATTTTATTTATTATTATACAATATTCTGTCTGTGTGCATGCCTGCAGGCCAGAAGAGGGCACCAGACCTCAGTACAGACGGTTGTGAGCCACCATGTGGTTGCTGGGAATTGAACTCAGGACCTTTGGAAGAGCAGGCAATGCTCTGAACCTCTAAGCCATCTCTCCAGCCCTGTTTTTTTTTTAAATAATTTACTTACTTGTATTTTATATGCATTGATGTGAAGGTGTTGGATCCCCTGGAACTGGAGTTACAGACAGTTGTGAGCTGCCATGTGGGTGCTGGGAATTGAATCTGGGTCCTCTGGAAGAGCAGCCAGTGTCTTAACCACTGAGCCATCTCACCAGCCTCCCCTCTTTTTTTTTTTTTTTTTGACAGGATCTCATCATATAACCTTGGCTGTCCTGCTGGAACTCCCCATGTAGACCAGAAATTTTCAAACTCACAGAGAGCTGCCTGCCTCTGCCTCCCGAGAGCTGGGACTAAAGGCGTTCCATGCCTGGCATAATTTAAAGAAAAACTGGGTTGACAAGATTGCTCATGAGGTAAAGGTGCTTGCCACCGAGACTGACTGAGTTTGATCTCCAGGACCTACATGGTGGATGGAGAGAACCGAGTTCTGCAAGTTGTCCTCTGATGTATACATTGGCATGCACACGTGCGCACACAACACACACAATAAATAAATACATGTGTTTATTTATACAAAATCTCACGGCACAGCCCTCACCCCAGCTCTGTGTCCATACCTTAATATGTTCTATTTAATTACATTGCATTAATGGAAAAATCAGGTTTGCAATCCACCAAATTAATGAATCCTGTTAGGCAGCAGGGAAAGTTTCAAGAGATGCTAATGGAAGTCTTGTAGGAAGCAGAGAGAAACGGAAAGAAAGCAAGAGCCCCGCAGTTGGAGAGGGGACACAGGACCTCGGCCTTCTCTTACCCTGGATATCCAACAATGGGCCCTCACAAATACCAACAACAGGGCTGGCGAGATGGCTCAGAGGTTAAGAGCACTGACTGCTCTTCCGGAGGTCCTGAGTTCAATTCCCAGCAACCACATGGTGGCTCACAACCATCTGTACTGAGATCTGGCGCCCTCCTCTGGCGTGCGGGCATACATCGAGGCAGAATGTTGTATACATAATAAATAAATAAATCTTTAAAAAAAAAACAAATACCAACAACATACGGTATAAAATGTAAAGCCTGGGCCGGGCGGTGGTGGCACAAGCCTTTAATCCCAGCACTCGGGAGGCAGAGGCAGGTGGATCTCTGTGAGTTCGAGGCCAGCCTGGTCTACAGAGCTAGTTTCAGGACAGGCTCCCAAGCTACAGAGAAACCCTGTCTTTAAAAAAATTAAAAAGTAAAGCCTGGGGGCTGGAGAGATGACTCAGAAGTTAAGAGCACTGGCTGCTCTTCCAGAGGTCCAGAGTTCAATTCTCAGCAACCACACAGTGGCTCACAGTCTTCTATAATGAGATCTGGTGCCCTCTTCTGGCCTGTAGACATACATGCAGGCAGAACACTGTATACAGAATAAATTTTTTTTTTTTTTAAATGTAAAGCCTACAGCCAGCTTGGGTTACAGAATGATTTTAAGAGCAGCCTGGACAACTTGGCAAGACTCTGTCTCAAAAGAAAAAGCAAAAAGTTGACTGGAGGCGGCAGAGATGGCAGAGTGGGTAAGAGCACTGGCTGCTCTTCCAAAGGACACCCTCATGTCAGCTCACATCTGAAGCTCCGGTTCCAGGGGATCCAGTGCCCTCTTCTGGATGCTTTGCGTACTGCACACATATCACATGGTGCAGACACATACATCCTACACTTAAAAAAACTTACAAAGAGTGCTGAATCTGTTGTTCAGTGATAGAGTTTACCTAACTTGCCTGAGGCCCTGGCCTCTGCCCCTAGTGCTGCCTCTTACTGTATCTGAATTCACCAGAGACACAGTTCTCTCATCCCCAACCTCATCCATTGGAATATGCAGATGAGACCGGATGGGCAATAGGGGCTTTGAGAAGTGCCCAGGCAAAGACAGATTAGGGTGGTCCTAGAATCTACCGCGATGATGACTTCAGGATTAAATGCTGTGTGTGTGTGTGTGTGTGTGTGTGTGTGTGCGCACGCGCGGTGGGGGTGCAGAGCAGAACAGACAACCAGGCAGTTAAGAGCTTCCTACTGAGGAGCTGGAGAGACAGCTCAGAGGTTAAGAGCACTGGCTCCCCATGCAGAAGACCTAGGTTCAGTTCCCAACAACCCACAGGCAGCTCACACCATCTGTAACTCCAGTTCCACGAAATTCAGTGCCCTCTTCTGGCCTCTTTGGCCTCTGCACACACATGATACACAGACACATCTGAAGATAAAACCCCACGTACATAGAATAAAAAAATAAATAGATCTTAGGAAAAAAAAAGAATGTCCACTGCCCTCCCATAGGACTTGTTTGATTCCCAGCACCCAAGTCAGGCTTCAGGTGGCTCACAATGCCTGTAACTTCAGTTCCAGGAGGATCTGATGCCTCTGGTCTCTGAAGGTGCACACATGTGCGTGAGCACACACGTGCACGCACGCACACACACACACACAGAGCAGTACACGACCAAGGCAATTCTAATAGAAGAAAATATTTAATTGGGGGTTTGCTTATAGTTTCAGATGTTTAGTCCATGATCATCATGGCAGAAAGCAGTAGCTGAGAGTTTTGCATCCTGACCTCTAACAACAGGCAGAGAGACACTGGTCCTGCTGGGCTTTTGAAACCTCAAAGCCCACCTCCATGACACATCTCCTCCAATAAGCACACACCTCCTTTAACAAATTCCCAGTTCTTCCCAAAAAGATCGACTGGGGACCAAGCATTCCTCATATTTGCCTTTCAGGGGCCATTCTCACTTAGACAACCACAATAATAACAATAATAAACAGGAAGGAAGAAGAAGTTGGAGTTGTGGGATAGCTTGGTGGTAAAGGCGCTTGCTACCATACCTGACAGCCTGAGCTGAAACTCCAGAACCGCGTGGTAGGAGAGAATTATTTTCCTTTAAAATTGAGCCGGGTGATGGTGCACACCTTTAATCCAAGCTCTCAGGACACAGAAGCAGGTGAATCTCTGCGAGTTCCAGGCCAGACTGGTCTACCGAGTGAGTTCCAGGACAGCCAGGGATACACAGAGAAACCCTGTCTCAAAACCTCAAAATAAAACAAAACCAGAAAAAGAAAATCGAAGCTGGATGTGGTTTCAGATACAGTAACCCTAACTGTTCCGAAGGAAGAGAAAATGACACTGAGTTACGGTCCAACCTGGGCTACAAAACAAGGTTCTGTCTCTGCAAATAAACAAAAGAACAGGATTGACAAGTTGGCTCAATGGGTGAAGGTGCTTGCCACCCACACTAACAACCTGAATTTGACCTTCAGAACCCACAGGGTAAAAGGAGAGAACTGACCCCCATGAGCTACCCTCTGACCTCCACCTGTGTCCCCACGTAAGTACAAACATAAATAAGCATGTATAAATATACTATACCAATATAAGATAAAACTCACACAAAAAACCCAAAAACTTCTACCAGCCCCCACCCCATGCACACACACAAATGAAACCTGGGGAAAGGTTGGCGTTTGGGGGTGAAGTAGGGGTGTAGCTCAGTTGGTGAGTGATTGTCTAGAACTCACGCAGCCATGGGGTCCACCCCAGCATCACATAAACATGAACAAAATGTGGTCACCTGTGCCCGGAGCCAGTTCTTGGGAGGTGGAGGCAGGAAGATTGCCAGTTCAAAGTCGCCTTCATCTGCATATCAAGTTCTAGGTGGCTTTGGGCTACCGCGAGCCTGCTTCATCCATCCCCCTCCCCAATGAATAAAATAGAAA